AGCTCATGACATTATTGTAACTTTAAGGTATTAAACACCCTGGCAAGTGTTGACAGAGGCCACTGATTATACTATATTATATTGGTTTGTATTTATTGATCTTGTATCAAGGGTATGAGTGAGGTTATTCAGTTCTAATTCAAGAAACATAAAGGATATGAACAAAACACACACAATGTTAAAAAACATTAAGATACACAAGTTCTTATTGACTTGAAAACTTTAAAATAGTGGCAGACTCTAAATGATTTCCAACACACTGCACAGTTTTGTTCACACAGAATAATCATGAAGATCTCTGCAGCTTCTTCCCCTTACATCCAAATCTACTGAAGGCCACCCTTTCATAATAATCTCCTGTCCTTTTCGATTGTTCCAGGTTTTGTGTTGTATTCACTCTTTAACAGGGGCTGCCGCAGACAGGGCACGTTTATTACCGCTGGCACGCTGACGGTCCTTTGTTATCCAGTGTTTTTATCAGTTAAAATGAAGTGAGACGGATATATGGGATTGATAACGGAGGCGGCCTGCTTTGGTGATGGATGCCGTCATTCTAATAGACACCTGATATGAGAATGTGTACACACAGAGTATTTTGTAGTTAGACTGTAGCTGCATCGTAAAAAAGACAAGTCATCAACTGAAATTATGGAGAAGTGGAATGAAAAATTCACATAAACAGGAAGATCTTTGAAGTTTTAGCATTAAATAGAAATAACTTGGTACATAAAACATTTGTGCATATTTGACAGGTTTAAAAACCACTTGTATAACTTGTATTTAACTATTATCCCCTCCTCTGACATGTTCTCCTGTTCATTTAGTCGGACTAGGAGCTGCACGGTCTTTCTCTTTACCCTGGCTGAATACGAATTACTCAGAGTGTACCTCACTGATGCACCTGACTGAAGATGAAAGAAAGCGCAGCCTTTGTTTTGGTATAAAAAGCGACTCTATCTTGCGAAACCCAGAAGATAAACCACCTCTCGTCCTCAGAAACGTCTCACATTTGAAGGACACAGAACAAACTGCCCATTGTTGGTCCACGCTTTATTCCCTTTCTGTACACACTTCATTATTGCTGCCTCATAAACCATCTGTTATTCAATAACCATCAACAATCGGGGGGGCCGCGATGGCAGAGGGGACTCGAGACGTTTCACTCCTCTGGCAGTGAACCAGAAAACCTCTGAAAACCTGAAGAGACAGAGCGGTGCACTGATACCACAAGTTCATTCAGTGCATTGTTGTTGTTGATCCTGCTTTGTTCCACTTCATCTCTCTGCCCTGAGGTTTTAAAATCTCTGCATTGTTCCAGACTGCTTCATCCATTCATGGGTTAACAATCCCTGTGAGGCAGCCGTGCCCGTGGCTGAGGTCCGACGCTGCTTTGAGCTGAATGCTCAACAACTGGGTCTGATGTCATTGGAGTAAAATGACAGGCCATTATCTGAGTTGTTGAGATATTTCAATCTATGATGTACAGACTGACCAACTCTTCCAAACCTCTTCTCGTCCTCTTCTCTCCATTCAGTGACTGTCAGTTAAATTTAGTTTTGATATCAACATTCTCTAATAACTTTTAAAGCTCAGCACGGTCTAGATTTCAGTTATATTGCAAAATTTCAAATTCCCTTTGCTCCCCCAAGCTGCAGTCTAAGATCTTCCACCCAACACTTAGGTTATAGTTCTCAAATCAAGGCTGGTCACTGAGGCTCTAGGACTCTTTGCCTGAAGAGACACTTGCAAAACATTTAATAC